AAATGCATCCCAACCAATCGAACGACAGTCCCAACATTGGAATTTCAACCTCGAGTTGTTTCTGGAGGACATTCCACGTGCACCGACAACCATCAACGTACCTATACAAACACAGGGACCTCAAGCACGACCAACAGAAACACACCAGTCAGCCGGCAGGAGGAGAGAAGTTTTCATTGCCGCCGTCACCAGCCTGTCTTACTCAACATGGAGGAGTATGGGACACGCAGCTTCGTTGAATATGTAGCTATCAGTACAAGTACTTCGACTATGTTTTTTTTTGCTAGCTATTAAAAAAATTGGGTCCGGTTCACGTTCGAACCGAAAAAAAAACCGAACCTGACCGCTGCGAACCGTTCGCAAAGGTTCGGTCCAAGGTTCGTCGAGAAAGGTAGAACCGGACCTTGGTCCAGTTCTTGGTTCTCGTCAAACTGCCTCTGAACCGGACCAAACCGGACCACGGCAGCACTACTAGTGGGGGCACCAATTCGGAGTCACCTTCTTCTGCACTCGACGGGACCGTATAAGTCTCACAAGCACAAAATTCGCCATCTCGTTAAAGTTGAGGATGGTGGTCCGAGTCCATCTCCCCCGCGCAAGCCAGAGGACGAAGAGAATGTACAGGAGAAGTTAGAGGGTATATTGTACCTGTCTGCAACACAATATAGTCCAATGGTCAACTTTATATGTTTCTCTTGCCCTGCATCTGTCACTACTGCTAACTTCCTTCTGCCATCGTACTCTAGCATTGTCTCCAGTTCCTGAAACCATTTCTATCTACAACTAACGATATTTGTTTTGAACATTCGCTTTTCTTGACATGTTTTTTTTTTCCCTCTCTTCATTATCACTTGGTGTATCTCCTATATACTATCTACGGTATTGTGTTGTTCACATGGCCATTGCAAATGCGGAGCTCAAAAAAGGTATACTACAGAGGGGCCATCAGTAAACTGGTGAGTTCTTGCTGGGGATTATGCTGATTATGGTGCTTTTACATAGTCATATATTGACTTATATCACTTTATATTCCAATGTGATGAAAACCTTTCCTATATATTACGATATATAATGATATATGACGATATCTTCTTCTCACAGGTTCTCTGATGGCCCAAAAGAGAGTGGAGCTCAGGTGGCGCACACAGGAGGGTGGGACGTGAGTTGCTTCTGTGGGATCAACTGTTCCATCCTTACATATGTTAGATGGGTGGTGGAACTTCCTACAGTGGGTTTGAGAGACCAGCACTATATCACTTTCATCGAGTGCTCTCTACTCATGGCCGGCTTCCCTGCCGGACTTGTCTTCATATGCAAATGCATACAAGGATCCGAGCCATCAGAGCTTACCAGAGAAAAGAAAATCCAAAAGGTAGTAAGCTGCACGCAGCGGCGCTGACACCAGTGTGTGGTAGGTAGAGAAAAGAAGCCACGTGCTGCACAGCTGCGTGACAACCAAGTCTTCAAAGCTTTGAGGACATCCAGGAAATGGACACTCTGGGGCCAAATCTGCGGCGGACTCTGGGGCATCTGTTTGTTTCAATCAGAGTTTCAACATCATGCACCTGACATACCACGTGATTACAGCCACCCCGCCGTCAGCCACCACAGCCACCCCGCCATTATTACTGATCTCTGTCAGCCATCACTATGTCAACAAGCTCACGCCCATTGTGCCTTCGGCACAAATCGAAGGAGCGCTACACGCTCCTTCAGGGGAGGAAAATGAGTGTTGTTCCTTCGTCACAGGAAGCCAAGGAAGGCTATGCCCTCCTTTGGTTTCCTGGCCTCAGGCTGCATCCTAATAAATTGTGCATTTTGAATTATTTTAAAATATATTTATGAGCAGCTTTCCAAAAAAACTCAAAGTACAATCTATCACACCACATAAAAGTACATAGTACATAAGATCAGTCAGTGCCATGTTCTTTGAGCAGGATTTTGACCAATGTAAAAATACAATCTACTACACAACATAAAATTACAAAATATGTAACAGTATCATTGAATGTATTTATTTTCCCATTTTTCCCTGCCTCCCATCTAGGGATCAGCAGGGGTATGGGAAACCCTTGAGGGTAGGGGTAGGGGTTTGGATCTGAAGACCCCTGTACCCCTGGGAATATATGCCCAAATTGATTACCATAGGAGGGATGGATAAGTATAAAATTTTGAAGTTGTACATTTGCCTTCAAATGGTAATATATGTGATTGGAAAAAGTGTTACCCTGGGGTATACCCATGCTAATCCCGTCTCCCGTCTCCCAGTATCCCAGTATCCCATTTTTCCATCCTCCCATCCTCCCATCTCCTGTTCTCCCATTTCCCATTCTCCCTGTTTCCTGTTCCCAATTTTCTGTCCTCCCATTCTCCAGTTTTTGAGTTTCTATTTGAGTTTCTATATTATCAATGTTTCCTTTTGATTTATTTTTTCACAACCTTTTGTCATTCATTTCCTGTCACCACATGTATTTGTTGTTCCATTTTAGTTTTATTATTTACTGTATGTATGTACCCTAAACAATTACAATAGGGAGAATCCTGCATAGTGTGCTGCTGTAATGGGCAACGGCAGTTCAGTCAGCGCTCGAAAACATGTGACAAAGCCACGCGAGTTTCCAAAAAGGACTTTAAGCGAGGTAAGCGAAAGCCATGTGGCCTTAAGCAAATCTAAGCGTATCTAGGCGAAAACCACATGGCCCTACGCGAAAACCACGCGAGCGCCCGTGTGTTCCCGAAAACCATTCTCCCTTTCTTCTTAAGATTCTTAGATGAGCTCACGCCCGTTGTGCCTTCGGCACAAATCAAAGGAGCGCTACGCGCTCCTTCAGGGGGAGGAAAATGAGTGTTGTTCCTTCGTCACAGTAAGCCAAGGAGGGCTACGCCCTCCTTTGGCTTCCTGGCCTCAGGCTGCATCCTAATAAATTGTGCATTTTGAATGATTTTGAAATATATTTATGAGCAGCTTTTCAAAAAAACTCAAAGTACAATCTATCACACCACATAAAAGTACATAGTACTACATACAATCAGTCAGTGCTATGTTCTTTGAGCAGGATTTTGACCAATATAAAAATACAAAATATGTAACAGTATCATTGAATGTATTTGTTTTCCCATTTTTCCCTGCTTCCCATCTAGGGATCAGCAGGGGTATGGGAAACCCTTGAGGGTAGGGGTAGGGGTTTGGATCTGAAGACCCCTGTACCCCTGGGAATATACCTCCAAATTGATTACCATAGGAGTGATGGATCAGTATAAAATTTTGAAGTTGTACATGTGCCTTCAAATGGTAATATATGTGATTGGAAAAAATGTTACCATGGGGTATACCCATGCTAATCCCTACTCCCTACTCCCTACTCCCTACTTCCTACTCCTGTCTCCTGTCTCCCGTCTCCTGTCTCCCATCTCCTGTCTCCCGTCTCCCATCTCTGTTCTCTCAGTCTCCCATCTCCTGTCTCCTGTTCTCCCATTTCCCCATTTTCCTGTCATCACATTCTCTGGTTTTTGAGTCTACATTGTCTTTGTCTCCTTTTTTTATTTGAATCTTATCTCCTGTCACCACATTTGTTATCTCCCTGTCTGTAATTGTATCATATGTTGTTCCATTTATGTACATATACAGTCACTACTAATAATTGCAGTAGGCAAAACACTCAAATCCTGTTGTCCCCCTGCTCAAACACATTATTTAATGCCATGTACACATACAGTTACCAATGTTGTTGCGCAACATTCCCAATGGGTGACGTTGTTTGAGTCGCCGCTCGAAATATACATGAAAACCACGCGAGTTTCCAAATCGAGGTTAAGCGAGGTAAGTGAAAACCACATGGCCTTTGGCGAAATACGCGAAAGCCACGCGAGCGCGCGAACATTTCCGAAAACCGTTGTACTTTACTTCTTAGATATCAGCCATATGCATGATGCCACCTGACCCGGATATCAGCAACCTGTTGACCTCACTCCAAGGGCATCCAACAGATAAGAGAGATCGGTAGTGGGCATGGCATTGTCATAGGGTAGACTTGGGGCGGAGCATGAATGCAGTATTCCAACACCAGCTGCATACTATCCCTTCCACTGCAATCGGCACCCCACAGAAGTCGGCAGTCACGCAAATGTCACTGTGAGTCATGATATGTCATGTAGGCCAATTTTAAAGTCAGTTCGGCAGTCAAGCAAGTGGGCAAGGTCAATTAGTATTCGTTCGAATGAGCAAGTATAGTATTGAATAGTAGATATACCTAAGTATGAGGGCGACTGTTATTAGTGCCGTAGTTGTAAAATCGAGGTGGATATATAGGGAGACCATGTGCATTGTAACATGACAGAAACACGACTCACATTCTGTTCTTTTGCTGCAGTATAACCCATTTGAAATTCTCTGAATTGAAACCTGAATGCGTGGCTCATATGTCGGGTCTGACGAAGCTCGCAGCTTTCCTCATCTACCGCTGCTAACTTAAACTTGCGAATGTGGACGCGCAGCGCTGCACCAGTCGGCACTTCCAAAGTGGGGTGCAATTCGAAACTCCGTCATGGCATGTATCGGCAGGTGACATTTCTGCGTGACTTCGGCACTTTCGACTATCTCACTCAATTCTGCTTTAATTGTGGTCGTTCAACCTCATAATGAGTTGTATTAGAGAGAGAATGATACAGATGTTAAGAATTTTGTGTTTAAGTAGCTAGAAATACGAGTTTTGTGAAAGTGCCGACTTCTGTGGGGTGCCGATTGCAGTGGAAGGGATAGTACTGGCAGGCAGCGGCGGGCAGGCGGGAGACAATGAGCGGGCTGGGCTTTGTCATCAAATGGTGTTTAAACTCAGCTGTACTCTGCCGGACTTGCCGATGGGCCCCAGAGTCTGCCCCAGATTTTGGCCCCAGAGTGTCCAACTCCCTGACATTCTGAAAGCTTCATTCCTAACTCGTACCTCGCTTCGGGGTAGATTTCCAATACATGTAAACTCCTTTCTTCCCACCCCGCAGTCATCATGGTCGTACAAAGTAAGGCCTTATCAATGTAATAACTGCTCACCAACTTCGAACATAGGCAAGCATTTCCTGAACACAGCACCCTCTCTCGTGCTCGATTCCTTAGAAGGACTGTGTGCAATCAATACACATCTAGCTCTTGATCCGACTCATAGAGGTAAAGTTACAGACTCCTAATGTCCAGGATCTTTTACTGAAAAGATATGTAGTCGTGTACCTCGCTGATCAGGACCGCTCCAAAGTTGCCCTGCTCTGTGGAGGTGGTTCTGGCCATGAGCCATCCCACTCAGGTTTCGTAGGTAAATAAGCCCTCGCATTACATTCCAGTACACGCTGACCTGAATGCAGGCCAGGGGGCTTTGACCGGTTAGCAGAATCGCTATATCCTTCATGCGGTCGTGACCTAACCAACATCCACGAAGCTGCTGTCTGTGGAAATGTCTTTGCCTCTCCAAGTGCTGGTCAGGTTCGCCGTGCAATAGATCTGGTTGATAACGAAAAAGGGTGATTCTATTGCCATAGCTGTAATCTCATTTGCTAACAGTGACTGCGTTTAGCACCATCATAGTAGTCAAGTGCGAGTCCGACTCATCGGGACGACTCTTGTAGATGCGATTCACTCACGAATTTTGTATGCAGGAATTACACCGGCGATGTTCTCAATTTTGGTCTAGCCAAAGAAGAATATGCGGCCCGTAACCCCAACAAAGCTGACCGTGTCAAGTTCGTCAACGTAGGAGATGACGTTGCTGTAGGAAAAACCCAGGGTAGTATTGTCGGAAGACGGTATGGATATCTCTCAAAATTCCACTACATCACTTGAACATCCAACAGTGGTCTCGCGGGTGTTTGTCTCGTCTACAAAATTGCAGGTGCCCTCGCCCAAACTGGCGCCTCTGTAGATGAGGTCTACGATGTCGCCCAGTACGTTTCCTCCAGGCTCGGCACTATAGGTGTTGGTCTGGACCACTGTCATGTATGAGTCAACGTTCGAGTATTGAGGGCATCGTTATATTCACGATACTCTATCGCTTCACGCAGGTTCCTGGCACTGCTGTTCCCGATACACATTTAGGTGCAAATGAGCTCGAAATCGGCCTCGGAATTCACAACGAAAGTGGTCACCGCCGCATCTCTCCTGTTCCACCTCTCAATGAACTCATCCCCACTCTCCTCGAAATGATCACTTCCACGACAGACAAAGAGCGGTCTTTCATTCCCTTCAAGAACGACAGCACAGACCGTGTTGTTCTTCTCGTCAATAACCTTGGAGGTCTCAGTGAACTCGAGCTCGGCGGAGTAGTCGCCGAAGCAAGGCGTGCTCTAGACAAATCTGGAATTCAAGTCATGCGCATACTTTCTGGCTCTTTCATGGTTTGTTGGACCCCTTTAGATTCGCTAGAATTGATGATAACTTCTACTAGACAAGTCTCAACATGCCTGGATTTTCAATTACTGTGCTCCTTCTCCCCGCCGCAAACGACACGGGAACTCCATCCGCTGATCTCATCCTTTCCTTACTCGACGACAGTACCAACACCCCAGGATGGAAGTGGTCCTCTAGGTCTGTCCCAAAGCCACCATCTGTCTATTCGTCCCTCCCGACTGTAACCCACGCGAAAGCCTGGTCAGCCTCACTCAAAGCCCCCGATATCAACCAATTCAACAGTGCCGTAGAGCGTGCATGCCGGGCCCTCATTACTGCTGAGCCTGAGATTACATACATGGACAGCATCGCTGGTGATGGGGACTGCGGACTTACGCTCAAAGGTGGTGCTACAGGTACTTCACATTGTGATCATGATATGCATGCATGCTCATTATATACATGCAGCTGTGCTTGAGGCTTTGAGCAAAGGCAGCATCTCCGGCAATGATGTACTTGGCAGCGTCATCACAATCTCTCGTATCGCAGAGGACGCGATGGGAGGAACTAGCGGAGCCCTCTATTCGTCAGTGAAGTTCCCTTTTGGTCTGGTTCATATCTCATAATCCTCGTGCGCCAGAATTTTTTTCTCTGCCCTCGCCCAAGCGCTTGCTAAAAGCACCTCCTCGACCGCCACACAAGAAGTATGGCGCACAGCGTTAGAAGCTGCTCTAGGTCGTTTGTATACTTACACCCGGGCACGTCCTCCTTCTCGTACACTGGTCGACCCTCTCGCTGCGTTCATCGGTACGCTGTCGTCCGGCCTTGCGGCAGCCGTGGAGGCCGCTAGGGAAGCTGCTGAAGGGACGAAAGACATGGAGGCAAAGGCTGGCAGGAGCGCATATGTCGATAGCATAAAACTTAAGGCTGAGCGGGTTACTGATCCTGGAGCATGGGGCGTGAAAGTTGTGGTAGAGGCACTAGCTCAGTGATAGTATTAAATGGCCACCTGAATTCGAAGCGCGAGGAAAGAAATGGGTTACTTCATAATGACCAAGATCATGTCTTGATGACGTCGGTGTCTGACATGTCAAACATGTGTAAATAAAAGGCGGGCTCGCCCGTCCACACAAGCAATTATTACGTAATAGTCCGTATTTGCACCGAACATTAACGGCGAGGTTTCCTGATAGCCTTTTGTTTGAATAACCTGTTTCATGGTCATCGGTAACGTTCTAGCATGAAGTATTGGTAGTCCAGCCAATCAATAGTCACTGGATGCTTCCAAACGCACGTTTACCATTCATACAAATAATCCTTAGATTCCTCACTGCAAACGTTCCGCGGGTACCCGTCTATATTTTTTGCCATCCACCATCTACCACGCTCCTCGTTCCGTTTGCATCAAGCCCCCTCAGCACGCATACCCAGCCATCTTCCCACTTACTCGACGAGTAAAAACAATCTTCCTCGGAAGATGCGCTAGGGGTGGTTGAAGCTACATCGTTTCGACCCACATTTGGTAGAGAGAGACAGGAGGGCAGCTGGTCGCGATGTGTGGACTTTCATCTTTAGAACTACGCATTGTTTCTAATAATTACAGCCATCCTATCTTTCGCCTCCGAGGAATGGATCTGGACTCAAGTGGTCCTCGTCCTTATCATGCGAACTGTGTGTACTCATCACTGGGGGGTGCCGCATCACCGGCCTCCGTGTACTTTAATTGGGAGCAATAGTGAAAGACTACTTCCATGGTATGTTGTTCTGCTGCACAAGCGACGGCGCTGCAAAAAATGGTTACATGGAGGAGGTACCAGGTCATTCACTGGGGCACCCATCCCCAATGTTGTCAAGTCCTTGTTTCCATCACCACTGCCTGCAGAGTGAAATGAGCTCCTGCAGGTAGGTATACGAGTGCTTGGGAGGCCTTCGCATGATTGATAGTACCACAACAGGCGAGTCACTGCGAAGACCTATCGTCTCACATAGTGATTAAATACATTTTATCCCAAAGTGCTCATTTCACTCCCAGTCCTATTAGGTCTTTCTTTCTATGTACACTCATGTGTCTCGCAAGTTGGTCCGGCCTCGCGAAAGACTTTTCACACCCACCCTGAGGACAAGGATAAGGGCGTGCACCCGTGTGTGTTCGTAACTAGAAACATGTTTGAATTCAGAAACTAGACCTACAATAACCACAAAAAAGCCTACGTGTTTTGACAGATTCGACGACTCAGCGAAGGCCCTGAAGAAAGACAATAAATCAGCCTTCCAACATCAAAAAGAAGAAACTCATACTTCTCGCAATACTTGCACTTGAACGGCTTGAAGCCATTGTGCGTCCGCTTGTGGATCGTTAGTGCACCCGTGATAGCGAACGCCTTGCCGCACCCGGGAAAATCGCAGACGTATGGTTCTACAGTGCCCAATAAGCTGATTGTCGAACACGAAACGACAAAAAACGGAAAAGTACACACTCTCTTGGGTATGCCTCCGCATATGTTGCTGCAATGTAGCTGTTTCCGAGAAATGTGCATTGCATATTTTACACTTAAATGGTTTATGTCCTGTGTGCGACTGCATGTGCCGCGCCACTTTTTGTTTACTTGAAAATCCTTGCGTGCCATTTCGAGAGCAACCCTCCCAGCAACACTCGTAGTGCGCTTTACCGCTGCCGATGTGGGCAAAGAGGATGTGGTTTGTAAGGTCATCAGGAGAAGGGAATGTTTGCGTGCATCCGCTCCATTTACAAGGTTTGATGGCGTCTGTGGACGAGGAGTCTGGCGAATGAGACTTGTCCCGAGGTGAAGGATAGGGCGAGGCGTCTGTGGGCGACTCATCACAGGAAATAGTTTCTGTGCGAGTTGGTGGTGTTTTCGGTGGTGGTGCAGTGCGCACCATCGTCGATTGTGGGAAGGGGTAATTGATACCAAAATGATCTTGCATCAGATGCGTGGTAAGAACGTCAAGGACAGTATCCGTAAATCCAGTTGTTGAGGAGCTTGAAATTGATTCTGTAGAGGGTAGCATAGCACAGTCTCCCCAGTGGCACGACAAAGCATTGGGGTCGAATTGTTGATTCTGGGAAGCGTCTGAGCATACCTGTTGAAAAGCTTGTCCCTTCATTAAATTGGGGGGGCGGAGATGGTCCAAGTTCACATGCCCGACTAGCTCCATAAGGGACGGGAATATCACCTTGCAGTCCGCCCACAAACAAGGAAACACATGTGGTGAGAACTGTGGCAGGTGTTGCTGCAGGCCAACGGGTGTGAATTGAGTCGCCGCCTGGGAAATGTGGGGTGAAGAAAATGCTGAGCTAGTAGATGACACTGGGCATTCGGGAGATGCGACACCCAAAGGCCGTGCTATGTTACTGCGTTCTGACAAGAATTGGGACACATTTTGTTCGCTGTAGTCGCTCTCGTCGCATCCACACAAATCATTTGCGGACTGCGGGTTCCAGTTGAACTGTGTGAGGCTTGGGTCAAGGGTCTTTGGCTGAGACAGATAAGAATGATAGTCAGTGCAACATTGCAGCTTAAAATGCAAGGAATTAGAAAGTGCGTGCAGACACACAATATGGCGTACCAATTCTTCAAGACCAGAACAATTGCCGCAGTCCTCGTCGGGGACACATGCGCCATCGCAGACTACGTCGTCATCAGCCACATGGCAACTGGGCTCAGGGTGGGTAGGATCGTTACAGGCGACGACGACACACTGGTCAGTGCACTGCGAGGTCATCTCTAGTATGGGGCATGCCGCTTCTTTGCATTGATTCATCGACCCTTGTGGACAGTGTGAGCACGGCGGATACAGCGGTTGAGTTGATGAATCTCCACAATCCATACCAGCGTCAAAGTCTGGGAGGTCATAAGGGCGGAATGATTGGTCATGGAGCTGCATGAACAAATAAGAGTTCCTTGTCCGCAAATCGGAAAGCTTGTGGTAAGGTGGGCTGATCCTCGACGACGCTGATGACGACAAGCCAAGGGGATCTTTATGTGATGAATACCTGGAAAAATAATGAGTTAGAGAAAGGGAGACGTTCCCTTGATTGACTGGGTGTGTGATTGTGTTTTCCATTGCGAGCTTTATTGGCTTGGTGACTGTGGAGGTCCTCTTCAACGTTAACCTTGGTATACGGTACGGGAAAATTGGTTATGGCAAGGGTGTCCGCCGAATCGCAGTTAGGAGTCACCGGTCAATTTCCAAAATAGGTGCTCTCCCGGTCAACTTCCAAATTAAGTCGCCCCTATTCGGAAGTAACAACGTCACGTGCCGGTTTGCCCGAGTTTTAAACACGATCGTCCACCCTTGCTATGATCGTGGCCCGGGAATCCTGGTCAAGCAAGGTTCAGGCAATCACTCGATTTGAACCAGTTGTATGCCTGCAACTCATTTTATGCAAGCAGTCAATCCACACGTAGTACTGGCTGTGAGATGGAAACAACGATACCTGTGGTATGCCTGGATGACGCAATTCAAATCGAACATATGCATGATCTATGATGGCATGCGAAGCTTTGAACGTTGAACCTCACTCGAGCTCGAAAAGTTTGACTACAAGTTAGTAACTTTCTTTCTGATGGTGTTACGAAGCAACGGACTATTCAGATCGTTGTGCGTGTAGTACTTACCCGGGCAAAGCAAGTCTCCCGCACGAAGTAAAACATCATACTGCTACAAACAAAGGAAACATTTTAAGAAACGTTGCCCTGCGAGTTCCGATGCATGGGTGTAAGGTGTAGGTATATGCATGAAGTGAGAATGATAGAACACTCAGGCTGAGTAGTGCCAAAAGCAAGAACGGCTAAATAGCGTAAGTAGCAACACAGCACAGGTTGATAAAAGCCCATCATACATAGTCACTGTGTATTAACAGCGCGCATCAATTTCCCCGGTATCTACCCTCTGGCTAGCTGCCTCTGCTTCCGAGCGCACCTCTCTGCCAGCTCGTTCGACATGGCTTCTAGGGCCTCCATCGCCCCAAGGGCCTCGAGGTCATGAGTCTTGCTGTCGGCGGACGTGGTAGTGGAAGTTGTTGGAGGTGGGTGCGTAAATGTACTGCGACCAGGTTGTTCTAACACCATCTCGGCAAGTTCTCGAAATGGTGTGGTGTCTTCCGATGCATTATAGGAGACCAAAAGCGGAGCAGCAGTTAGTCCGGTAGTCATTCGGGTGGGTAGTACTCGTCCTGGGTCCTTTCTCAGTATGTGCAACTTTTGCGAGAAGGGATGGATTATACCTAGTCTCTTCGCTACGTCGTATCCCTTCAGTCGTTCCTTATCAAATTCAGGGTTAACAGAAGAGCCTTCCTCCAACGCAAGATAATCAATACGCTTGTCGATAATAAAGCGATCGTTCACTGTCCAAGGTGCGTCATGTAGCACTTCGTCTACCCAGCGACAGTGCCGCATAAGCTCGCAACGCTCGAGATGTGAGAAATGAGGTGTAGTATTGTGAGCTCGACATTGCTCATCCGAAAGCACTCCAACGATAAGATGTACGGAAGGGAACGAGAGCTTCGCTTGACGGAGCTGATGTACGTGCCTAGATGAACTTTAGTGATCGTGCAGCAGCTACTAGTGGTGTACTTACCCAATGGTTAACACATCGAAAACGCCGTCAACATACACTCTAAGAGTGACATTGTCCCGTGGGTACTTTCCTGCACTAGACGTGTTAAGTGCATTCTGCACATATGCTTGTATATCCCCGGAACTCAGCGCCACTGCGCTGAGTCGTTCCCTGGCTGCATCAGACGGGGGAATCTCATAAGTATTCAAGGCTGGAATATGATGCAAGTCGGCAATGCTGGACTCCAAGGAGCGCTGACCAGGATTAGAGATGAGGTCATAGTCCTCGTCGCTCAGGACAGACGAACTATCCATGATGGGGCAATGGAATAGAAAACACGTCAAGACCGTACGTACGCGGTGGCGTTGGAGGCCTATGCTAGTAAAAATGCGAGACACGAGGCCATTCCTCC